AACAGGCGAAAGGCCGTCCTGCTGGGAAAGATGTATTGCTCTTTACAAAGACACTGGCAGCCCGAATCCCCCCCCCCACTCCTTCCAGCTTTTGACTTCAAAGCCCCGGAACGGCGAGAGGTTGACGCTTCCACTGACTTCAGGGGAAAAGTCCTTCCACGCGTCGGGCTGCTGCCCTCTAGGCGTTTGGACGCCCTTTGAACTCCTTTGGGCCTGTATTGGATTCGAACTCCTCCGATCCATTCTGCTCAAGAGCGAACCTTCCCATCCAGCCCTTCCTCCCCCCCCTTTGGCTGTCTTCAGAAACGATGCATTGGGGCTGGGGGCCGGGGGGGGAGTGAATCAAGAAGCTCTTTCAAAGACTCGGAGAGCCTTCCTTCCCCCCAATGCATTTCCCACCCACCCCCCTCCGTTACATTTTGTCCATTGAACTCAATGGCCTAGCGAAGGGGGAGGGGGCTTGGGAAGTCCTAGCTACTGAAATAATACTTGGGGGGGGGAGTTATATGGAACGGATTATTTGTGCTGCCTTGAATGAAACGATTGATCCAGTTGAGCGTTTCAAATCCCGAACCATATACTTGGGTCCTCCTGTCTCTGAAGCCTATGGGAATGTCCCTCCGTCCTTACCATCCCCTAAAAAGGCGTGGGAGATGGGAGGGTGTCTGCGAATGGTGCTGATATCTCTTCTCTTGCTACCTGTAGTAAAAAAACAAAGCAAAACTGCCAGCGGCTGAAATTACCAAATATGGTTTGAATGGACAAAACCAGCAAATCATAAAACGAAACGAAACTAATAGGGACTCAGCTGGGCAGACGATCAAGCTGAACCCATAACAAAAAGAAGGAGAAAAAAAAAGGTGGGAGCAATAAAAGGCTAAGAGAATTCAAAAGCTTTAATCCGTCCGTTTGAAGACACAGAGTCCAATACGCCCGAACTGTAAACCAGGTCATTTTGACCTAACCTGATGCCTGTTCCCATTCATTGTGGGTAAAAGCGTTGCATTGATTCGGGGTAATTATCTGAAGCTTTTCGACTGGAGCGTCATTAGCTTTTACATTGTTCCTGTTTACTCACATTGTTCTCCGGTTTTCATCAATTTTAATTTTCCTGTCACTGAGGGTGGGAGGAGAATCGGGATGCAGGCTGGTTGCTACCCCAACATTTTGCAAAGAGGACTCAAGTCAACAAATTGCTCACTTTCTGCCACCCTCGGGTGTTTGGAACCTGTCCTCGGTTGGCTACCTGTTTGACAGTCTTGAGTTTTGAAAATAGCTTAAAAATGGTACTGGTAGTAATAACTCAGATAAAAGAGGGTGGGAGAATTAGAGACGATTAACCTCCCCAAGGTTTTGTTTCAAGTTCTGTCTACTCCGGTTTAATGGAATAATTGGTTCATCTACCTAATCTAAAATAAACGGAGGCATGTCGTGTCGTACCCATGGAAGAGAATGTCTGTAGTTCAGGATTGAACTGAAGGGTCCTTGATGCTCTCCGAGCCTGGCTGTTTTCTTGCAGACATTTCATTACCCAACTGAAGATGTTAACCTCGTTGGGTAATGAAATGTAAGAAAACAACCGAGAGCTCGGAGACAGATAGCTTCCAAGTTGGCCCTGGCATTTGCGGGGTTTGGTGCTAAGGAGGAGACCCAAGGGTACAGACGCGGGTCAGTTTGGAGGAGGTGTCCACACTTTTATCCAAGCGGCACCCCCTTTGTAGATACCCAGGAGCCTTAAAGTGAAAGGTGGACTTTAGAAGCTTCGGGGCTGGGTTGGCAAATGAAAAAAAAAGAACTTTGCGCCTTCTTCTCCGCGATTCAGAACGTTTAAGGGGATGGTTTGAATAACTTGCAGCTCTAGCCCTGCGCAGCTTTCCTTAGGATGAGTCCAGTAGCCTGTGATCCTAAGTGCCTGCTGCTTTTATGCAATATGTAACATAAATAGTAGTAGTAATAATAACAATAGTAATTGGCTGCAAGACCTGACAATAACAGCAATTACTTTGGAAGTCCATGTGTTTTCTTGCACAGCCTTTCAGACTCCTGAAGGCACTATGATGAATTCCATAGGGGTGTTGCCATGGTTTCAACGGGAGGTGGACTGTCCACCCTCCGAAGTCCAGCGGTTTTTCTCTCACATCCACTGCTGGAAGTAATGGCTTCGGACTAAGGTGGGGGATGGGGGCGGTGGAAAACACCCCGATCAAAGCAACTGTCTCCATACCCCGCAGGAGAGGGGGACAGCCTTTATTTTCGCCTGCCACTCTGACAGCCTTCTCATAAACAAGGAAATGATGATCTCTATCGTCTTGTGTAAGGCAGCAAATTAGTTTTTTTTTTTTTTTTTTGTTTGGAGCATTAATGATCAAATGGAAAAGATGCGAACACAGGCAGGCAACAGGTCTTATTTCAAGAAGAAGTGAGTAAGCAAGCCAAAGCCATCTGTTTCGCCAAAACCACTAGAGCGGGCTGCTCAAAAAAAGTTCGGGGAAGCAGAAATTCTGATAAATTCGGTGTGCATCGCCTCTCCCCCCGATAAATCTGCAGGCCGGGGTTCCAGGAGGGGTGGGGGGGAAGGTTCGGCTTGAAATACCATTCGCCCTTCTAGCTAATGATGGAAAGTCCAGCAATGCTGGGGAGGCGCCTAATAACTGCGATAATGGCAGATTTATCATTAAAACCAGCAGTTTTACATAACCGACCAAGCGCCAGTTCTTTATTTCTGCCAGTCTCTCTATCCTCTGGGCTGGCTAAAGAAAGCAAGCTGAAGAGATTCGAGCCGCCTTCGCTTAAACTAATCCTAAATTAACTCCTTGGAAAATAAGTGCTTATGAGATCAAATTAAGAGGGCGTCCCTCTTTCTCCTTCTCTCTCT